GGGAGGGGGGCCGGGGCCAGGGAGGGGCACCGGCGGCGAGACTCTGCAGGTGGCGGGGCTGGGGCGGGGGGAGGCGGGGTGGGGGAAGGGGGTCCGGGGCCCGCGTGCAGGCCGAGGTGGCAGGGGAGTGTGGGGGCGGGGCAACACAGGGCGGGGACCGACCTGGCTCCCGGAATCTGCAGCGCGTGCACCGAGAAGGGGAGCCGAGGGCGGGGGCCCCGCAGCGGCGGGCGCCCGGGCGAGGGGCGGGGGGCGCCGGGGCCGGCGGAGGGGCGCCCGGGCGGCACGTGAGGCGGACGGCCGGGCCGCTCCCCGGCGGCGGGGGGCAGGAACCGGGGCGAGGCTGGGGGCGGCGCGCTCACCCGCAGGGCGGACAGGTCGATGTCGTCCAGGCTGCGGGCGGGGGCTGGGTCGCCCATGGCCTCCGCGGGCAGCCGGGCCCCGGGGCCGCTCACGCTCCGGCTCGGTTATTCCGTTGCCGCCGTCGCCGCTTCTCCCCCATCGGGGGATCCCGGGGGCGGACTCCGCCGCGCCTCCCCCGGAGGACGCGGAGGGGGAGGGCCGGCGGGAGGACCGACCCACCGACTGACAGGAGCTAGCGCCCGGAGCCCGCAAACCGAGCCTCCCGACTCTCCTGCGCAGGCGCGGGGTGGCCGCGCGCCGGGAGGGTGGACGAGGGAACGTGACGCGAGCGCGCCGGGTTCCCCTCCCCCTAGGCGCCGACACCTGCGCGCAGGCGCAGGAGACAGAGCGAGAGCGAAAGGCGCGCGCGAGGACCGAGCGACAGCGCGAGCCTGGCGAGCAGAAGTGGGCGGTGGCCGGGCGGCCGCGGAGCGCGCCCACCGGCCGGCGCGCGTGCGCACACGCGTTTCTTTCTCTTCCCTGTGTTTTGCCCTTTCTCTCCCCCATTTCCTTCTTTGCTCTCCTTTGACGCTTTTCCTTCCCTTTCCTTCCTCTTTCGTGTGCCCAGCTGCCAATCAAGCCACCCACCTCTATTTGCGGGGGAAGGGGGCGGGACCCAACCCCCCATTACTAGGGGGGTTGTTATGGTAACTCCCCACGCGAGGGCTGGGTGGCCTCTAGATAGGATGGGCTGTCCACCCACCTAATTGCCATGGCAACAGTGGAGCCGCCGAGGGAGGGGCCTCGGGGTGAGAATTTGGCTAGAGAAACCACGTGGGAGTTGGGCGGGGGCGCCGGGTGCCTCGGGAGTGCCCTTTACCCCCTCACTGGCTGGAGTCGGGAGTGTTGAGGAGGGGACCTGAGATCGCAGGGCGGGGAATCCTCCCGCACACCTTTGTCTCTGCACAGAGGAGCTGTTTCAACAATTATTCATTGACCGATCACTGGAGCCGCGTGTGGGGGAAGGGGTGGCAGGGGGAGGCGGAGGAGAGGTGGACGAACCCATGTCCAACCCCTCCAGATCTTGCTTGGGTCACCTTAGGTCTAGTGTGGGCACAGCAACCCCAGCCATTAGCCTCACTGGAGGCCGGGTGAGGCCATGAAAAGAACCAGGGTCATGTTCTGCCACTGTCGTGCTGTGTGACCTTGAGCAAGTTGCTTTGCTTCTCTGGGCTTTTCTTTCCCTGTGAAATAGAGGGAGGCTGTTTGCTCCCCGAGATCACTTCCAGCAATATTGTCTCTGAAAGACCGCAACACCCGTCTTAATGCAAACATCGCTTAGGAGAGTTTGAATGAAAAGTCCTTGGAAAGGGGTTAACATCCTCGTTTCCAGACCCTTCTCTTTAGCACATTTGGATGCACGTCCCGTTTTGCTCCGCTCCCCTCCTGTTTGCCTTGTAATTGTCCTTGTCCACGCAACAATCCCCACTCACCTCCATTACTCTTTATCAGCCACCTGCCTGGTCTCCGTGCCTGGACCCCCTCAAGTCAATTCTCCATACCCACAGCGATTTTTCTAAAACTCAAATCTGATGTCACTCTCCTGTTTGAGACCCTTCACTCTGCCCCCACTTTGGAATAAAGTATGGCATCAAAGACCCTTTAAGATTCTGCCTGCTTCTCCTGCCTTGTTTTCAACACTCTGCCATTAGATCTCACATGTTCTAGCCATACTGAAATCTTCTACTCAAGTGGCCAGAACCTAACAGAAGCTTCCCCCCAGCCTGCACACCTGCTGTTCTCCCTGGAATATTCTGACCATGCCCACTCTGACTGCATCTTGCTTTACCCTACATGTCTAAATCACCTCCTCCATGAAGCCTTCCTTGATCTGCTAAGGCTGAGTTTAGCTCTTCTGTTTTAACTGCCTGGCTTAAACCCTTGGTAACACTTGAGACTTTGCATCGTAAACGTCTGTCGCATCTCCTTAAAGGCAGGAATCATGTCAGCCTTGTTCAGCACAGGTCTTGGTGCCCCTGAGAGGCTCAGTAACATGTTAAGTGAATGAAGGCGTCTGTCCTTTGGGCAGGCACTGGGATATATGGTAATGCAAGATAAAGACCATGGGATAGTAGGAAAAAACTGAATTTGAAGTTAGTCCTTTGGCCAAGTCATTAATCTCTCTGAGGTTCAATTCTATCATCTATAAAATAGAGATAATAGATTAAGATAAAATAGATATGTAAAGCACTTGGCATATACTAAGTTTTCAATACATTTGCTTATGCCTGACTCGTAGGCCGTGTTTAATAAAGAGATACTGGGGGCGCCTGGGTGGCTCAGTCAGTGAACTGTCTGCCTTTGGCTCACATCAGGGTCTCAGGGTCCCAGCATCGAGCCCCGCATCAGACTCCCTGCTCAGCCGGGAGCCTGCTTCTCCCTCTCCCTCTGCTGCTCCCCCTGCTTGTGCTCTCTCCCTTTCTCTCTCAAATACATAAAATCTTTAAAAAGAAATAAAATAAAGAGATACCGAATCAATGAGTGAGCAGATGAAGAGGGCAGGGACAGGCTGGCCACCCAAACCTCAAGAGGCAGTGCAGTCTGGAAGGTGGGAAGTGCAGAGAAACAAGGCTGACCTTGTGTTCATAATCACTGAGGCTGGAATATGGACACTCGGATGCATGAGGGTTCATATTGTCTTTTATGTATGTACATATGAAATTGTCCATAATAAAAACTTAGAGACCATGTGGTAGAGAAAGTCCTGGATTGGGCACCAAGGAAAGTTAAAATATATTTTTTTAATTTATTGTTTGGGGGGGGAGGGGCAGAGGGAGAGGGAGAAACAAACTCCCCACTGAGCAAGGAGCCTGACAGGGGCCTAGATCCCAGAACCCTGAGATCATGACCTGAGCCGACCCTGAGTCGGATGCTTCACTGATAAGCCACCCGGGTGCCCCAGGGAAAATTAAAATATTAAAAATAAGACAAATTGTAGGACCCCGTCGGGGATAGATGAACATCTCCCACAGGCCCAGGTGCCCTCGGGGCCTCCCTCCCACCTCGGGAGTCGGGATTCATTCTGTTCTTCGTGGGTCTAGAGCCACCTCATCTGATTCCAAGCCCACTGCTTGCCCCCTGCACTGTGCTGGCTTCCAGTCAAGAAATTCCAGGACTCATTGGCAGGGGGCTGGGGGCGAGGTTTGCAGATAGACCAGACAGACAGTGTGAAGCAGAAGCCCACCCAGACCCAGCCCAGCTCGGGACAGCTGCTGTCTCCACCACCCCCTCCACGGTTAATGAGGTAACGGTCCCCTCGGGAAAGAGGCACTTACTGCTGACAATGAGGCTAATTAGCAGGATGCCAATTAGTACCAGGGGACCGCTGTATGTGGGAGGGGGTATTGCTTGTGTGCAAGTGGTTTCTTCAGAGGAAAGGGGGGCTGGGCTCAAAGGATGGGAGCAAGGCAACAGCAACCCCCTTCTCCCCATTGTCATCCACCCACACACCCCTCTTCCAGGAAGCCTTCCTGAACTACTCCCTCTGCTCCCCTCCACTTCCCTCTGCTCCGGTGGTGGTCAATTCTCAGACTGGGGAGCGAGGCTGAGGGACTGATAGGCAAAAGCTAGGACCTGCCCTCAACTTTTTCCTAATTGCAAAATAGTTCAGATACACACAAAAAAATGAATATATATATGTGTGTGTGTGTGTGTGTGTGTGTGTGTGTGTATATATATACATATATACATATATATATTCATCTACCCACCACTCAGCTTAAATAAATGCCAACAATTCAGGTGAAGAGCTCTCTGTGTATACCCCTCTGTTATCCCCGTCTCTCACCTGCGCTGGGAGGTCACCCTCCTCAACCCTCTGTGTGCTACACTCTCTTATAGACCATACCATTTGCAGGCATACCTACTTTTGTTGTAGTTTTTCCAAAGGGAAGGTTTATGGCAACCCAGTGTCAGGCGAGTCCGTTGGCGCCCTTTTTCCAACAGCATCTGCTCACTTCGTGTCTCTATATTACATTTTGGTAATTCTCCCAATGTTTCAAACTTCTTCATTATTGTTATATTTGCTATGGTGATCCGTGGTCAGTTATATGACTCACCGAAAGCTCAAGTGATGTTTAGCATTTTTTAGCAATATTTTTAATTTATTTTTATTTTTTGTTTATTTAAGTCATCTCTGCACCCGATGTGGGGCTCGAATTCACAACCCCGAGATCAAGAGTCACATGCTCCTTCGACTGAGCCAGCCAGGCGCCCCAGCAATTATTTAAATAATTAAATATTATTATAATATCTATAAAATAACTATACATTATTATGTATTATATTAATATTTATATAATTAATAATTAAAATATTTTTAAATTAAGGTACATACATTGGGTTTTTTTAGACCTACTGCTATTGCACTTAATAGATTACAGTATAGTGTAACATAACTTTTTTTTATGACATTAGTATTTACATGTATTGGCATGTATGTCTGTTTTGTTTTAATTTTTATATATTTTTAAAGATTTTATTTGACGGAGAGAGTGAGAGAGCACAAGCGGGGGGCGGAAGAGGGAGAAGCAGGCTCCCCTCCGAGCAAGGAGCCCCATGTGGGGCTCACGACCTGAGCCGAAGGCAGATGCTTAACCGACTGAGCCACCCCGGCACCCCTGATTTTATTCTTTAAAGATTTTATTTACTTTGGGGCATCTGGGTGGCTCAGTCGGTTAAGCATCTGCCTTCGGCTCAGGTCATGGGTCCCGGGATCGAGCCCTGCGTGGGGCGCCTTGTTCAGCAGGGAGCCTGCTTCTCCCTCTCCCTCTGCAGCTCCCCCTGCTTGTGTTCTCTCTCTCTGTCAAATAAATAAAATCTTTAAAATTTTTTTATTTTTTTTAAGATTTTTATTTTTTTTATTTATTTGAGAGAGAGAGAATGAGAGATAGAGAGCACGAGAGGGAAGAGGGTCAGAGGGAGAAGCAGACTCCCCGCTGAGCAGGGAGCCCGATGCGGGACTCGATCCCGGGACTCCAGGATCATGACCTGAGCCGAAGGCAGTCGCTTAACCAACTGAGCCACCCAGGCGCCCTAAAATTTTTTTATTTATTTTAGAGAAAGATAGTGCAAACGGGGGGGAAGGGCAAACGGGGGAGGAGAGAGAGAGAGAGAGACAGAGAGAACTTCAAGCAGACCCCGCACTGAACATGGAACCCAGCGCAGGGCTCCATCTCCCGACCCAGAGATCACAACCTGAGCCGAGTCGCTGTCCCTGCAGGAGGAGGCCGGCTCAAGTCAGTCGCTTAA